GCGCCCAGAGCACCCCGCGGGCCGGGCGGCGGGCCCTCTGCCTGCAGATCGCCTGGCCTGAGCCGAGCTCGGTCTGTCCCACGCAAGTTGCACGAACTGGCCATGTTATTCCTCCGGCCTACATCTTGTGTGTTTGTGGATGTTGGAGCAGCTCGGCAGGACGGGGGCGGGCGCCCCTCGGGGAGAGAAGGACGCTCGGAGGCCCGAGCCGGGCTCCCAGAGCGCACACACACTGCAGACTTGCAGGTGGGGTGCGGAGGGGTGCCTGGAAGCCGAGACCCCGCGGGCAGGACCGCAGACCGCAGACCTCAGCCTGAGCGCGCTGCAGGGCCGTGACCCAGCCTGTCAGTTCCCTCCCTGCTTGTCTGCATCGGCCGCATAAGAATAACCAGTTCCCTTTTCAGAGAGGGGCCAAATGACACATTTCCCACATTTTTGGGTGATGAGTTAAGATCATCTTTCGATTTTTGTTCAAAGTAAAAATTTAACAATAAAGAAAAAAAAACAACCCCTTTCCCTCCATGCTTATAAATTATTGCGGGGCGGGGGAAGCCGCAGGCCCCTCCCTCCGCAGTGACCCCCCCCCCCAGGTTGCAAAAGTGATCCAGGTATTTTTATCTCGAATGTGGGACATCCTTCATCAGGGGGGAGTGTGTGTGTGTGTGTGTGTGTGCACGTGGGCGCGTGTGAATGCACCGGCGGTGGGGGTGGGGAGTAACAGGTCTGAAGACCCGCAGGAACTAGTGTGACTTAACTTGGCGTCGCCCGTGGGCTTGCAGGATCGGCCCTGGACCACAATTAGGAGCCCGCTGGCTCCCTGCACTAGGCAATCTTTTATGTGATGCTGTATTAAGATTTCTTTTTTGTGTCATATTGTTTAGCTCCGGAAAAAAAAAGAAAACAAAGCAATTAAAAAGATTGACAGGTACGGTTTGTGTGAGACCTATTTGTAATTGTCAGGGTGACGTTGGCGATTGGAGGTGGAGTAAAACCCGAAGCAGGAAAAGCAGCTCGATGTGTCTGTCTATCAGTTGAGGCTGTCTGAAAGCTCTGCGATCCGAATGTGTGTTATATTTCACTGAAAAGAGGAGCGAGCCAGAGTGCATCTCCCTCTCCCAGGAGTTTGGGGGGGGCAGTCCCCGCGCATCTCGCCCACCCAGGGCATGTCTGCTGCACCCCTCTGCACACACTCTCGGGGTTGTTGTGGCCGGCCTTTTTTTTTTTGGAGGGGGGTGCCTTTGGCATATTTTTCAAAATTCTTCGGCTGGAAGATCAAGACCGGCCCCAGATCCGTGCTCAAAATGTGTTGGCACTAGACGCGGCCTCGGAAGCGGCGGCGACCCCGGCGGGCGGCCGGCCCGGGGCGCGGGGCGGCGAGCGGCGCCCCGGCGCGGTGACACTGTTTGATCTGTGACTGTGCGGAAGGTGGACAGCGCCTGCCATCGCCCCCCGGCGCATGTATGTACGGGGGCTTCACTCTGTCTTGTTTGCTTTCTTCCTCTTAGACTAAGTGCGGGGAGGAGAAGCACAGCCTGCATCGGCCTCGCCGCGCACAATGAGACAGCCTCGAGCCGCGCACTGAGCGCCCGCCGCGACCCCCGACCGCGAGGAGCGAGGGGACACAAAGTTGCGCTCCGAGACTCCCGGCTCGCGGAGGAAGGCGCCGGGGAGCGCCCGGAGCGGCGCGCCCG